ATGTCAAGCACATACACTAGAGAACGTCTTAGGATCAAACATCATACCTCTTTATTTCGTGGTTTAATACGCGTCAGATTTTTATATTTCTTGCAGTCGGCAGAGTGTCCGGTGCTTGGAGCCGTGCTTGCTTTCAGGTACTGTCTTCGGATCAGACGTCAGACGTTTTCATTTTCTGCCAGGAAAAGCGTCAGATTTTGTTTTTATTTTCTTCGCCGCCGTTGGCCAGGCACCTTCCAGATTCTTGCCTTTCTCGTCTTAGGATCCAAGGTCAGACTTTTTTCGTGGTGGAGTCCGCGTCAGATTTTTTTATTCCTTGCAGTCGGCAGAGCGTCCGGTGCTTGGAGCCGTGCTTGCTTTCAGGTACTGTCTTTCGGTTCGACGCAGACTTTCAGGTTCGACGTCCGACTTTTTCATGTTCTGGTAAGAAAGGCGGCAGTTTTTATTTCCCTCGTCGCCGTTGGCAGAGCACCTTCTGGACTGCTTGCCTTTTTTCGTCTTAGGCTCAAACGTCATTTTTTTATTTCGTGGTGGAATTTGCATCAAATGGAGCCGTGCCTGCTTTCAGTTCCTGTTTTAGAATCAGACGTTAGGTTTTGTTGCTTCCTGGAAAGGCGTCAAGTTTTTTTGTTTCCCTCGCCATTGGCAAAGCACCTTTCAGACTTCTTGCTGCCTTCGTTTTCCGTGTGATTTTCACACAATGGCCAAAAGTAGTGTTTGCTTTCGTGTACTGCAGCTCCCATCACAGACTTTTTATTTCGTGGTCGGAACGGCGTCAGATTTTTCTATTTCGTTGCCATCGCTAGAGCACCCTCTGGACTTCTTTCCACCTTCGTCTTGCGATCAAACGTCAGACTTGTTTATTTCGTGGTGGGATCCGCGTCAGACCGTCGCCGCCGTCGCAAGGCACCTTCCAGATTCTTGCCTTTCTCGTCTTAGGATCCAAGGTCAGACTTTTTTTTTCGTGGTGGAGTCCGCGTCAGATTTTTTTATTTCTTGCAGTCGGCAGAGCGTCCGGTGCTTGGAGCCGTTCTTGCTTTCAGGTACTGTCTTCGGATCAGACGTCAGACGTTTTCATTTTCTGCCAGGAAAAGCGCCAATTTTTGTTTTATTTTCTTCGCAGCCGTCGGCCAGGCACCTTCTAGACACTTGCCTTTTTCGTCTTAGGATCAAACGCCAGACTTTTTTTACTTCGTGGTGGAATTTGTGTCAGCTTGGAGCCGTGCCTGCTTTCAGGTGCTGTCTTAGGATCAGACGTCAGGTTTTGTTGCTTCTTGGTGCGAAAGGCGTCAGATTTTTTTATGCCTCTCGCCATTGGCAGAGCACCTTCCAGACGTCTTGCTGCCTGAGTTTTCCGTGTGATTTTCGCACAATGGCCAAAAGTAGTGTTTGCTTTCGTGTACTGCAGCTCTTATCACTCTGGCACATTTGCCGAACTTGCAGGTTGCTTCTACTTATGATTGCTAATTCGTCAGTTCGCAATTCGCCGTGTTGCTCATTGCCTTATTGCAGACATGACAGTTGCTGATGCAAATTTTCGTTTTTTGCAAGGCGTTCTTGCAGTTTCTTGGCTTTGCACGTTTCAACTTGTCGCTTGCGGCAAGAGAAAGGAGAAGTCCCTTCCATTTGTTTGTGGCTGCTATGCCAAAATGCCGCGGAGACTTTTCAAGTGCCCTTTCTATGTAAAATCTTCTTTCGCAGTGTGTTTTTTGTGAATATTCGGACACATGTCTTCGTGAATTTTCTCATTGACCAGTCGCTTGTGTTGGAGCCAAGGGCGCGAGTGTTCATGCAACCTGGATATTTTAACACTAATATGGTGAAAACAATTATGTACATGGGTAGTTTTGATTGCAGGTACAGTAACAAACAAGGTTAAGCATTCAACCGATGTCAATGTGAAAATGAAACCAGAAATCAAAGCACATCATTGCTTTATGTGCGAGGCGACATTTTGAACATTGAGTACTTCCTTTTTTCGTACAACGTCCGCGGCACAACAAAGCTTGGTGCTTTGTCTTCCAGCCAACAGAAACGTGTAGCGTTGATGATCAACACAGCAGGTGAAAGGTGGAACCGGACTTGTTCGGAGTGTTTCTTCAGCTGCCAAACTTTTGCACAGTATGCATTGTCGAATCATCCCCGTACGAAAGCCATGGATACTTTTGCTACACAAGCCGCAACGCAGAAACAACATGATTCCTTTGCGCCTGCCGCGCAAGTGGGGTGCTTATTTCCGTGCAATTCTGCCAGCAGTTCTGGTGGCAACATGTCGAAAAGTTTACAATCAACAACCCATAGTTTCATTTTGTTTCCCAAGACAAACCATGTGCTTTGGAATCGACGCCGTTTGTTTGACTCGTTGGTTTAGCCCTACATTCTACAAACATCAGTAACATCAAGATTAGTTTCCAAGAGAACAAAGCGGGGACATGAAACTTTTAAAGAGTTCGACTGATCTAGCATTAGAAGATTAGAAGAATCGGTGCCATGGTGTGTGATGGGGGCCAAGAACAAGAAACGCTTGTCAAAGCAGGCAGTTGGCAGCATGCTGTTGAGCGACCCAGGTCGTTGTGTCTGTTTCATGTGCTTGACTGCAGTTTACACACAGCGGAAACTGCTCAACGTGCTGTGGCCCAGTGTGGAGCCTGTGTTTTGCAGGAAGTGCCAGCTCAACTGCAGAATCAAGACGGCAGTGTTGAGCCAGACGTGGAAGCTTGGTCTGCAGGAGTTGGTCTAGGAATCGGTTTTACCCCGAGGACGAGTGCAATTGGTGGACGCAGTGCTTCCAGCTTGAAGCATCCTGTGCTTTTGTGACCTGTGCAGTCCCACAAGCCCCATCGAAATGATGAAGCAAGCCACAATTCTCTAGTCGCGCTTTAGTGGTAGCATAGGACACGGACATTATGTTGGCACGAGCGCCGACACGATCATTGATCATTGTCGTTGTTGACAAACACCGTATTGTTGTTGGAAAGATAAGGAGCTGCGCTTGAATCTGCCGCTGGTAGAGTGGCTGCGCCCTCTTGGCCTCGACAGGCGTCTCGAGTAGTGAGTAGCCCGATGACATGTGTCACGATGCTCCAAGAAGGAGGCAGGAGGAACACCGTACACAGCAGATATTGTCGTCATTGTTGCTGCTGTTGGCATTCCTGTCGCATATGTGTTGCTCTTCCCTGATTTTAGTTGATGTTGGCATCATTATGCTGCGGTGATGGTTTCGTTGCAGCTACTGCTGCAACTGCTAGAGCTGCCATTCCGGTTGTTGATGCGGCTGCTCAGACATTTTGTGCAAATTCGTTTGTGTGTGTGTGACACTGGTACATGCATGAGGTTAGTTTGCACATATGGCTTCGTCATATCAGCGCGAGATTGTTCGTGCTTCTTCCGAGTATGATTTGGGTTGCAAACACTAGTTCACGAAGGCGGCATCGATGAAGATAGTGACGACTACTACTACTACTACTACTACTACTACTGCTACTGCTACTGCTACTGCTACTGCTACTACTACTACTACTACTACTACTACTACTACTACTACTACTAGTTCTACCGCTTTTACTCGTAGCAGATGCTGCTACCAGTGTCAAAAGTGCTGCTCATCTTCCTGATGCTGCATCTGCCTCCATGCTACCGCTTTGTTCCTTTTGTTACTTCGCTTTTGTTGCTCCATCCAGGCCGCGTCTCTTGAGCCGTGTGGTCGAGGAGCTGGGCCTCCTCTCATTGCTCCCTTCGGTGACCAAGGCGGACTTAGATGCAAGGGGGATTGTGTGGATATGGACAGGGTGTTTGCCACTTTGCAAGCTTTGGAAGGAGAAATGCTCGAAGCTGAGCGATGACAAGGCCGGCGGAAGACTTGAGCGAACACGTCCGTTTATACGTCGCAGATGCATTAGTGGAGTTGGGGTTTTGTTGCCTCGGACGAGTGTCGCTCTGCAATCCTTGGAAGGAGAAATGCACAAAGCAGAGCGATGACAAGGCCGGTGCAAGAAGTTGGGAATGCATATTTTAGCGTGCCGAAGTATTCTTGTTCTTGGGCCGTCCAGGAGGATCAGATCGGAGAGCCCGTGGTGTTCAAGTTCAAAGGCCTTCCAAGTTTCAAGGTGCACGTGGAGCTGGCTGGTGACGCTCGGTGGCCATGTGTGCGGTCCGTGGATTTGCACTGTGGCAGTGACATCCGTGACCACTGCAAGCCTGATTTTCACCTCCCCTTCTCAGAGATGGCTTTGAGCGAAGCAAAGCAGTACTGGAGAGAGCGTTTTATACGGTGTTTCATGGAGGCACGACAGAAAGCAGGGGACAGCTTCAATCATCCCGCGACAGGCTCCTTGTGGGCGAAGCACGGGGCAGATGCGATGGTAGAGTTTCTAACAGAGCTGGTCATCGATGCTGTCTTGACACTTGTCAGGGATGGTAGCCAGGAGAGGCTGCGAGACATGGAGCTTTCACAACTTTTTTCGCCACAAGCCCCCATGGCGGGATTTCCAAAGCTGAACGGTGAAGATGGCTACCTGTCGGTTGAGCAGCAAACAACCCCACCGCTGCTCCTTGGCCTTGCGGCGGGGGTCTGGAAGGCAGTGAAGAGAAGGGACAAAGGACTGCAGCAGACTTTGGACAGGGTAAGGCATGTGGTGGGCAGCGAGCTGCTGAAAGCATCACTGAATGCTCCGGTGGCTTACAGGTCTGCGAAGAAGAGCAAACTTCTTTGTGGTCCTGTCCTCATGTTCCTTCTAGAGCAAAGCGAACAAGACGAGTTCGACCAGCTGGTCGCCAAGGACCACCGCAGCCGCATCCAAGCGCTACTGCATTGCGGGGCCCAGGCTAATGCCCGTTACGCGATGTTTCCCATCGGTGCCCACTGCGGACTGGGCCAGTTTCCCATCCTCTGCTTGGCGGGCCACAGCAAGGAGACGGTTTCGTTCCTGTTGGAGTGTCAGGCAGACGTTACCCGACCGAGTGTCCAAAATTTTTTCCCTTCCGGAAATCCGCTTTGGATTGCTGTTTGGCGGGGCCAAGAGAAGATGATAGAGGAGCTGCTGAAGGGGAGGGAGGCGAAAGACGGCATGGAACCGGACTTCCCACTGGACGTCGACAGTTTCGGATGGTATCCAGACTCTTCCCCCTTGACTGTGAACCAAGAGGCTGCAGGCTGCAACGTGCTGGCACTGGCAGCTACGACCTTGGGAAGCCGACTTGTGAGCAAACTGATCTCTTTGGGAGCCCAGTTGGGCGACTGTCCGAATGAGTTGGCCTCCTTCCTGGTGGAGAATGCCCGACCGCTCGCCCGGCACGTGGTGGATAGGCAGGCTCAGAACATGGCCAACGGCAGTGTGCTTCAGCAAACAAGCGGCATGAGGATCGAGACTCTGGTGCAGGAAATCCTACGAGACGATGAATCAAGGAGAAAATTTTTAGATGCCATCGACCGGGCATGTCACAGTCCTGGTTCTAAAGACTATTGCGACTTTATGCAAATGCTTTCTGATTTGATTGCAAGGGCTCCAGCAGCTGCTGCGAAGCTGTGCGACGAGAGCCTCGCGCAGCCCAAGGTGAGCGATCATCGCCGTTACCCACTCAGGGCCTCATGCCTTTTCCAGAAGCATGAGCAGCACTACAATGCTTATGTGGACACCATGGTCTGGAACAATGCCACCCCGTTTGCTGATGAGCTTGCGCCGCCACCAACCAATCAGAAGACTCTACGTGATGTGTTGATGGTGAAGGAAAGCATGCACATTTGCGGTTTTTTCCGCACATTCTGGGAAGTTGCCAAAAGCATTGTGCTGCCGGATCAGCGCCAAGCTCTCTTTTGCAATATCTCAGTGCTTCGAACGCCGTCTCTTGCCAGCCTTTTCTGGGAAAGGGGGCTGTCAAACATTTTTGTCGTTTATCCGAAGTGCTGCGTTGAGACGCGAAGACATTAAGGAACATCATCAACATCAGCATCCTGCAGGCCATGAACGCGCTTCCTCAGGACCAGCTCGTCTCGGTGTTCAAGGACAGTGCCGTGTTCAGAGCGATTGCGCTGTATGTATGGACTGTCTTGGAGCCAGCGCCGCTGGGCTTGAATGTTCATTCCCCTACCTCGCAGCCCACACGGCAGCTCATGCCATCCCGAGGTACTTCATTGATGTCTGGAGCACTTTCGCCCAGCTGGTGTCCCTCCTAGTATGGTGGCAGCCCCTCGGTTGCGTTCAAGCTCTAGTCGAAGGAAGGCAAATGTAGCGAAGAGTCTTGCGGTTCAGTATTGCAGGTTTACCGGTGCGTGTGCTTCAAAAACTAAGCATCACGTGTCGTCCAGATCAATGCCTATGTCGCCAGCTCGGCGAGCATAGAACCCCAAGCCAAAGCCTTGCTTCTCACAAACGAAGTTTCGGTGAGTTCGGATTCGGATTTGGTGTCAGCTGCTTTTGAGCTGCGGCCTTGCTTCTTTTCGACATGAGCGTACAGACTTCAGGGGTGAATCTTCTTGTCTGTGCGTTCTGGCAGACTCACAGTATTCCGTTTGCAGGAACTCTGGTGACAGCACCTGGGCGGCAGCTCTTTGGATTGGCTTTACCGCAGTGGTCTTCCTCGACACCTCCAACTTGCTGCTGAACTTCGCTCAGCTGCAGCTCCCGTCCCGGAAGCTCATCATCCAGGTGACCATCGGCTTTTGGATGTCGTCCTTGCCCCTTGTCAGAGTGTCCGGAGACCTCCGTGACGGACCGGTCACGGCTAGGGCAAACATGGCAAACGCCTAAGGACCTGGGGAGGCCGACACAGCGTCGACAGCCGCTCCGCCATGGCCTCAAGTCTCGCGCTCTGTTTGATGGGGATCATCTACGAGCCGGGGTCCCGGCACTCACGGCGGAACTTTTGATGACTTTGCTTACTCTGTGCCCGGTTTGTCGGACTCTTTCCTGCTCCCGAGGCTTCGGCTCTACCATCCCCTGGGTCTGCCACTGGGTCGAAACCTGCTGCCCATCCTGATGGCGGCCCAGACCAAGGAGTTCGTGGCCATGCTCATCCTCATCATGTCCATCCTTCTGGCACCCGAGCTGCAAGCTTGCAGTGCAGTGCGGTGCACAGTCAAGGTGCAGTGCATCTCTCTTGCCGACTCTAATCCTTGATCCTGAGCGCCCCAGCGCTTGAGGCCACCTTCTTGGCTGCCTGTGTCGAATTTCAGGAGTTTGACGGACAGCTGTTGTCGGTGGCTGTGAGAACATGGCAGACTCTGATTGTGGGGGAGTCCTCGCTCTTCGATGTCGACAACTACGAGCATGCAGCCTTGCGCTACTTCGTGGTGTCCTTCCTTTTCTTCGTATGCAACATCGTGCTCATGAACATCTTTATCAGTGTCACGGGCGCCGGCTACGAGGAGGAACGTGCCAATATCGTGGGCACCTTTAGCGCAGAACGCTTCAGGGTGTGCATGGAAAGTGTGGAGGTCACGGGATGGTCCAGGTTTTTTGTTCTGGTGGCCATGGTTTGCGGGCTCTGCATACGGATGATGGTCAGCCTGGCACTCGGAGAAGTCTGGACCTTCGTCGCGGAAGTATTGGCTCTCCTCATCTGGCTCGTGCTCTACCTGTTGCAGTGGCACTTCTGCCAAGAGGTTGCGAAGCTTCGAGTGAAACCCGAGGACTTCGATCCCGAAGCGAGGAAGTACCTCTGGATCTGCGTCCCATCGCAGAGGCTAGAGGTGGACGAGGATGCAACGGATGTGAGCCTCAATGAGACCCCTGCTTTTAATGGCCCAGCTCTCCTGAACCGATAGTTCTCCCAGCTATAGGCTTCAAGCTTGAACCCCCGCCAAATCCAGAACTCTCCAACCCCACATCCGCAAGCCTCCCACCCAGGATTGTCACAAGCTTAAACGAGCTTCGCGATTTGCCCCTCGGCCTCATCAAAGTGATGCGTACCTCCGTGTCGAGAGCCCCACACATGGCCCAACAAACTATCTGCCCTGGCCCTCAGGTTGCAGCGGAGGCCTGCTCCTGGCCGCATTCGTCGCGCGCGACGGGTGCAAGTGAACCCACACAGGCCGCCAGGGTCCGGCTGTTGCTGTTGCGGTGTGGGCTCTATGTATTTGTCGAAGATTGAAGGCTTTAGCCCCGAACGTCTGAGATCGGCCGAGACCCTTAATTACTTAATCGATAGCCCTGACCCAGAAGCCCGAAGCCTGAAGCCTTAAACCGAAAACTGCAAGCGGTCTTCGAGCTTTCGCGCGCTTAATTCGGTGTTCCGGCCTCTGGTCTGGTATTGGTTCGGGGTTCAGCCTCGAGCATAAGCCCGAAGCTCCCAACCGTTTCCAACCGCTCCGAAGAGGGGGGGGGGGTCCCACGGGGGGTCCGGGCCCTGGAGCCCTCCATGGCTCCCACAGGAAATGGCTCCAGGACTTCCTGGCAGAGGCCGAGCTGGACCTGGAAAAGCCCCTCGTTGAGAACGCCGTGTTCCCCTAGTGAACATCTTGGCGTCAGGAATCACTCCGAAGGTCTGTCAGTCTGCTAGTGCCCAGTGCGCTGTTCAGCCCAGGTACCTGGAGAGCGCGTTGCGATGGGCCGAGACGCGGCTCGGCGCAAGGTGATTTTCACAAAACTTGGAACCCGACGCAAAATCCCTCGCTATTCTTTGGCCCCAAGGAGCGACATTGTCCAAAGCGACTTGTTCGGAGGACCAGGCTCAGGTGTATCACAGGAGGAGGCCAAAGCACATCTGGACGATTTGCTGGTGCACCAGGGCTGCAAGCAGGAAAGCCGGATTCAGTTCCTCCCCCCGGCAGCACAAGCAGGAGAGAACTCGAGATTCTCTCGGCATCGGCCCGCAGGCACATGGGGCTCAGTGATGCTCCGTCTCGCCGCCTTCGCTGGCAGCAGCAGCTGCACTGGCGGCCTCGTGCGTAGTACCTACGCCTTTAGTCGCCGCAAACACAGAAAGCTGGTAGAAGCAGCAAGAACTAGACATATGAAGCCGCATGAACAAGCGTGTGCTTGTTCATGTGTGATGTGGAATCAGACGGTCTGTGACTGGGTGTTTTGTTGGCGAGCTCTGTAGTCAGGAGATGGCTTGGGTTAAACTCGGAATACTGCCGCGCCGCTGTCCAAGACAGGCTGCCGGCCGCAAACGAGCCGTTAGGCGACTGCGGCTTCCCTCCTGCAATCCGAGTGATCTCTAGGCTGTTCTAACAACAGTGCCCTGTGGGGAAGCCTCTTCAGCTGTAGCGTCGAATTGCTAACGTCACCCTGGTATTGCCTGATGGCAGGATCCAACCCTCGCGAGACCTGGCTCACATGTAGCCTGTAGCCGCAGCGAACCTCCAAACATACAGAAGCTTCTTTTGAGGGCTTCATGCAGTAAGGACTCATCCTTACGAATCAAGCAGTCACTCACAGGGTTGGTCTTGCCATCAAGTAGATGTCAGCACACAGGAAGAGAGCACTGACTTAATACTGGTATCTTCTCTGCATGTGGCAAGAGGCTCTCATTCTGTTCATACTAACTAAAGTGGCCTCCGATGTGCCTGCGGACACCTCGTCCCCGGCCTCCAGCACTCTCGAATGCCGGGCCTTGGTTTCAGGTGCCTAGCCTGGCCGGGCAAAGATGTACGACCAACCTGCTTTCTCCCATGCAAAGCTCAGGTTAATGTTTCCCGAACATGTTGAAACCCTCTTCGACGCTTCTCAAGTGTTCGAACGGTCTTGTGTTGTGAATGGGTCTGTCCTGTGTCTGTGAGGCCTGTTCTATCCGAAAGCCTTGAGATCCTAGAGGTGTAAGGCACTCTTCCGCCTTCAGCCTTTGCCGTCACGACATGCCTTTTTGACAGGGTGCATTGCCTAAACTGCCGGCACGGTCTCCGAGGGACATGCTGGTAGATTCGGAATGCCAATTGGCGGCTCGTCAAATGCTGAGTTCGCAGAGCAAGATGATTGATTCCCCCTGACCCGGAATGAAAAGTGCGTGAAAAGAATTTCGATGGATGCGGGGGCGAGACTGAGATAAATGATGGGTCGAGTCTCATTGACTTGCGTGTCGAGCATGGCTGCACGTAGCTCAGAGGGATAGCTTCAGGGCAGAGTGAGGTCGTGGTGACATCAGTGCCCGAATACCCACTTCGAGCGGGATTGAATTCAAGCTTCCCGCCTGAGAACTGTGTCAGCAAGACTCATCACTACAACCACAAGCCCTGCACTGCTGGAACCGGAGTCATCGTTCCCATCGTTGTTGCAGCAAGACTTGAATCAAGTTATTGAATTTTGGGAGCTGTGCGTTCTTTAAGGTCCGGCACTGGGTATGGGATGATCCGAGCACACAACAGAAGCTCAAGCCTTTTTAAGGGCCAAGGTCAAAGAGTTTGTGTGTCAGGCTCAGGGAAGTTTAGGGTTGAGGGTGCAAGGATTCATGGTTTTCGGCTACGGCTTCGAAGTTTAGGATTTTAGGGTACAATATCTGTGTCACAAAGCCAGACTCAATCCCGAGGTTCATTCGCAGAGTAGGTGCGTTTCTGTTGGTTGTTGTTGCAACACGCATGCCATCCGCAGCTGTGGCATGCCTGCAGCCGGAACTTGGAACACCTGAAGGTTCGACAATGAATGCAAGCATCGACACCAACAGCTTTGACAACACGATACCAAGACCCACGAAGCAAGCCAGGCTCCAATTCAAGTTTTCCCGCCCGTCGTCGGATCCATTTATTTGGGCATCTTTCATGAGGTCTTTGCGCAATAGACTCTGCAGCAAAGCGAGCCCAATCTGCGTTTAGCAGAGCCAGAGCTGTACTTGACATCCCTGCCTTTCTGCTCGAGCACAGACGTGGACACATGTAGACATCGTGATTGGCACCGAAATCCAAGTGCAGTGGATTGCGGTTCACCCGCCAAACGGTAGCGATGCGACAGCGGGGCGGCCTGCTGCAGCTTCATTGCAGAGGCTTCATACGGTCTTGAAGTGACTTAGTTTCCATGATTGAACTCTGTTGGCTTGTTGACTGTTGCACAGCATGCCAATCAAGGCAACTCCAACACACCAGGTTAAGTTGTAGGTAGGTGTTGTTCCTTGAGCTTGATTGCGTGAAGTGTGCTGCAACTGGAAGGACGAAATGTGGGCACACATTGGGTGTCTGGTTGAGGTGGCTCGAGTTGGCATTTAAGCTTCGGTTAGGAGGCAGAGGGTTCCGAAGAGGAGGCTCATTCATGATTGGGATCGGGCTTGGCAGAAAGCCGTATGTACCTGCATCTGCACACTGGAACCGTTGTCAGCAGCTGGAGTCGTAAAAGGCCCAACTGCTGCCGCTGAGCAGCGTGGCTGGACAGGTCTGCTGAGATGCGTGCCGCCCTCGCCGAGCGTGCGCGCCGGGCCGCCTCGGGTGCCGCGTCGGCGCTGCGAGCCAAGGGGCATCCCTCCTCGGAGTGCCTCGGAGCTGAGCGGCTGTGGGGCTGAGGGGCTTTGGCATAGGCCGAAAAGCGCTGTCTTCGTCTGCGGCGAGGTTGGAGAAAGTGCTGCGACGTGTGACGCACGCAGACTGCGCGGCCATTCCAGCGGAGGTGCTGAAAGAGAGCTGAGAGCTAAGAGGTTAGGAGAGATGGACTGTGATCAGACTGACTCAGACTGAGTCTTGGAGTCTTCGGGAGGACCTGGAGGCGGCCGTTCGATGGGCGAAGAGGAGCGAGGATGCCCTGGCGAAGTCATTGAAGCACATCCAGGAGCTGGATTTTGAAAGTCATGATATGAAAACGCATGATTTCACGCCTGAAGCGTCCAGTTGATTTTAGAGAGGCTTCCAGCACAACCTCCGGATCTGGCAAACTGCCCATAGGGCCATGGGGCAAGGGTGTGCTCAGCGTGCTTTCGGCTACCCAGCAAGGCTGGGTGGAGTGGGCCGCAAACCAGAAGCATCCCAGGTTTCCGAAGGATGCGACGGGAAGGCATGAGTAAAAACGAGGAACTATGTGGCCGAGCCCTTGCGATCAATGAACAAATTAGTATACCCGACCGAAATGGCCGACCCCTCGTCGAAGATGGTGGGCGAGTCGGTTTGTGCGCACACACCCTGGCTGCTCGAGGTGTCGAAGTTCACTCGCTTCGAGTTTCAGCCTACCGTCGCCGCGTGCTTCTCGAAAGTTGCATGCAGGAGAACATCGCCGCTGACCCCTCGGATTGGAGGCGCGAGCAGCGCCACCCTCACCATCGTCACGAAAGCAGCAGCACCTCCAGCAAAGCTGTTGATGCAGATCGCAGCGAGAGAATCAAAGGACTTCTTCAAGTTGTGGCGGGCAGGCGGATCCATGGAGCTCTGGCCTTGTTCGAGGCTTTGGCGGCCGAGGGCAGCGCTTTGGTGGGGAGGCGCGGCCGGCTGTCTGAATATTGCTGATTGCATGTGATTGCATCGGCTTCGGGACACCCGGAGGTCCTGGTTCGAGGTGAAGATGCAAGGTCGTTTGAAGGACCTGCAGACCTTTCGTTTCTTGGCGCAAACAGACTGGAGCGGATTGGTGAGTGAAACACTGCCCCGAGAGAGCAGGTCCAGGTTCTTTGATACGACTATAACTTGTTCCACTGAATGACACGAGAGGCTACGATGCGGACCCGCGTGTGGCAGGGCTGGTGCAGCGCGCAGCTGCTTCTGCCAACAGTGCAGCAGAGAAGCTGAACTGGGAGGTGCAGTGGGGATTCTTCCGCAGAAGGGAGGGTGCAATGAACAGTCGGTGCTGCCACATGCCACTTGCTTACGTTCCGTTTTGTGCAAAGGTCTCAATCCTTGTGAACATGTAAACATGAGGTGTTTTTGATCGACTGTGGGCTTCAAAGTTGAAAGGAACAAAAGTGAGTGCCGACTTGGACAGCTGCCAGAATTCAGCCTATGACTGCCTGGAAGGATGACGGTGTCTTCGCAGATGAGGCACACTTGCGGTTTCTGCTACCATGCATCTCTTTTCGGATCCTGTTTTCTTGCCGTGAGAAGGCACCCGAAACTTCTGCTTCGGACAAAGTTCCGGAGATCCCACCGGAGTGGACGGGAGGCCCGGGGCCCGGAGGACTGGAGCTGGAACGAGAGCTGCTCTGGACGCTGTCAGGTGCGGAGGACGCAGTGCCCACTGTGATCGGCCGCACAGACGGCGTCAAGGCCAAGGCCCGAGTGCAGCTCGGACTGACCAACACATGATAGAGAGACTTGCACAGAGAACCCGAGGGCGCATGGGCCAGGAAAGGGCACACATTTAATCAAGAGAACAAATTCAAGCAACACTTGGAGTTTTTAGCATTGTTTTCTCCTTGGATTCCTTGGCACGGTGGCCAGTCAACTGCCGTTGCACAGACCAGCCGACACATGCAACATTCAAGCAAGTCTATCTACAAACCTGCCAGATTTTTGACCGGAAGCTGGACCCTCCCTTGAAATGAAATTTGGTGAATCCTACTTCGGCGTGGCTGGAAAGTCCAGGGCGAACCCCTCAATCCAGTTTTGAGAGTCTTACGTTGGCAAGACTTGCCGCAGGCTCCGAAGCCAGCAAAGCCCGAACAAGACGAGGATCCGCGGGGGTGATGCAGATCGGACACATCAGGCTTAATGCACTGGCGCAGATACGCTTCCTCTCCGCAGTTGCCTCCGATCCCAATGGGCTCTTGCTATTTCTCAGGACCCGAGGGCTGCCGCGGTCGAATCGCGCTGCTGCTGTTGCCGCCGTCGTCGTGCAGATGAGGTGCCTGCAAAGGCCACCGAGTGATGCCGAGTACTACAACATAAAGCTTTGAGCAAAATACGAGTTTTGGCTACTACAAATCATAAACCTTTCCTGTCTTGCCGGCAAGGCCAGCACCCTCACACCTTCGAGCCAGGTGTCCGAACAGGATCACCTTTTGCCTTGAGCTGCAGCCGTTGCAAAAAAGGAGCGGTTGCAATCTACTCTTTAGTGTTTTGTGTTTCGAGTTGAAAGCCCCAGCGAGTCCGAGTGTGGCTTTAACCTGCCAAAAACAAATGGTAGTGCATCCCTCGCCCGAAAGCCTCGGATGATACTGGCAAGCTGGTGTTCATGACTTGGAGATTTAGACTACCGTGACAACCGTACTTCGAGGGAACTCTTTGTTCAGTTTGGGATTGTCGTCGATAGCATTTTTCTCCGCGTGCAGGTTTTCGGTTGACTCGTGTCGATTCCCTCAAGTAGCTTAGCAAGGAGCCCAGCGAATGTCCGAACTGGACGCATCGCAGGCTGTAGATCTCTGTGCCAGGCTCACTTCGACGGCATTCGACGGCTTTGGTCTGCACAGAAACCGTCACATCACATGAGAGAAACCAACGGAGGTAGAGGGGCGGTCTCAAACTTTTCTCTAAGTGTCTTCTAAAGCCTTTGTCTCTCTTGTCTTGATCGGGATGACGAGATGTTGACCGGAAGGCCGGAGCGTGGGGCGTGCAATCGTCGTAGATCGCAGATGCCACATCGCGATGAAGTCGTGGTAGAAAAGCTTCAGCCCGCCCCAGCCTCAAGCTTGGCTGTTGTTCTTGTTCTTCTTGCTGTTTTTATTCTTGTTGTTGTGGTTCTCGTTGTTGTTTATGTGCGATGCCTTCATGGGGGCAAGGGGGTCAGGTGCTTCAAGCATGTCCGTGAGGGACAATCATTGTTGCCAGTTTCGGCGGAAGGGATGGAAGACACCTGGAGCTCGTTGACAACAACTTACGTGATTGTATGCTGATGCGAATCGAAATCTCGCCACAGTCATGTAGCTTGACAGGTCCATCCAGTCTTGCATGCTTGCGTGCACGTGTTTCAAGTAAAATGAAAGTTCATGACATGGAGCTTAATGCACATGCCAAGCAGTCACTTGGCAACTTCTCTGGACATGGTGCCCCGCATCAGGAGTTCCTAAAATCAAGCTTTGGAACACTCCAGACTCCCAGACGCTCTACGCAGGGCCATGCTCACAAGTTTAGACCTTCAGCATAGAGAACCCCAGAAGCCGTATCGCAGCAATCCCAACGTCGTAATCGCTGCCGCCTCAAATGCCGCGCGATGATCTCGAGACCAAGGAGTTTGCAGCCTTGCATCTTGCTGGCTTATGTTTCCCTACGTGAACTGTGTGTGGCAGGATTTCCTGCTGTCGAAGGCTGCCCGCCTGGACCGCGCGCTGCGATCACTACCCAAAGCCGACCTGAAATCCTTGCAGGCCTGTCAAATTCGGAAAGATGGGGCAGCACCTGAAGCGCGTTCACATCGATTGGCTGCTTTGGCCAGGCTGCTTCCCACAAGAAAGCACGCAAGCTCCTGCGCAGCCTATCTTACCCCGCCAGACCACAGGCGGGAGCTTCAACGAGGGAGACGATGTAGCCTAGGGTGTTTTTAGGGTCTTTTGAGCTTCCTGAAGGCCAATGGCGACACTGCCGAGACGATCCAGAACCGGATCGATGTGCTTGGCACCAAAAGCACTGCTGCGTCCACCGCCAAACAGATCCCACCGCTCACCGAAGCACTTCACATGGGACAAGATATGGTGACTTGGATGGGACCACTGTGTTGCGATGATAGTTCATGTCGAGCATGCCCGGGACGTATGCACATGCGGGGACCTGTCCGAGTCGATCTCACAGGTTAGTGTCCAAGCCTTCGCCATCGAAGCCCGACAGCCACTGGCAGAAGACCTGTGTACCGAGGCAGTCTCCGGGGCTGATGTAGGGCTTGGAGGGGCTTCTCATTGAATTCGTGTACGACATGTGCTGGGTTTGCCCACGCAGATTGGCTTTGTCTATGGTCTCTACATGTCTCTACCCTGTGCGATCATCGTCTAAGATATCGATTTCTGGCCAGAGGCCCTTCGACGTACCGGCGCCAACTTGGATTGGGCTCCTTGGTCTGTTACCGTGCTTGTGAAAGCTGTGGTGGGGGCACCTTAACCCTTCGAAGATCTTCGAATCTATTCTCTCAGAGCTGGCCGCGTGCTGTAAGGTACGGCTCGAGCCGCTGAGCCACCACTGTGAAGGCCGGTGGCCTTCCCTGGAGACCTTCACGAGGCGACTCGGCCGCTAGTAGGTGGAGCTGGCAGGAAGCTCAATCAAGCGGTTCCTGCCGTGTCAGTTGAGACCGTTTCTTCAGCAGACGTTCTGTGGGCGGTGATGTCAATGTGGAGATGTGGGGATGCAGAAGTTTCGACCTGACGACCCTGGATGCTCACAATTGAGTGTTATGCACGGGCTGGTTCCGGGTTGGTGTGTCTAGCGGCCTCGTCAGGTTCTATGACATCCCTCCGCACCTCCGGCCAAAGCCACGTACGCCGCCTCCACCTTCAGAGCCCAGTCCGGTGCTTCGGCCGATAAAAGGGACTTGGGCGCTTCCCCCCTTCCCCCTGGCCCTGGCCCTGGCGCCTCTTTCCGAGGAGCCGCCGCGCCCGACCATCGGCTGCATCGAGGAGGCGAAAGCCTTTGGACGCCGGGAGCTTTGAGAGACTGAGGCGAGGCGCTCTGCGTCCATACAGAACTGCAACGTGCTGAGGCTCCTCGGATCTGCTCGCAGCTCTTGTCCGAAGTCTCGACCTAAGCCTAAGCCCTCTCTCTCTTCTCCGTCACGGACCTGCTAGCCGAGTGGCCGAGGCCTTGCCGGAGATCCTGGCTTAGAGCTTGGCTCAGAACCTGCCGCCCACGTCCACGTCGACGTGGCACAACAGATGCAGCAGCCCCGATCACCGAGGGAGGAGACTCAGTGCACCGAGCTCCAAGCCCGGACCAAACGGAAGCTCTACCAGGCGGCGGCCGCTGGCCTGAATCGTTCTGCTCTGGCACAGTCTCACTATTGGCCCCTCCCCCTCCTTTTCATGTCACCGCCCGACCTAGAACACGCCTTTCAGGTTGAATAGGCTCCGCTTTGGAAGCGTAGAGTTCCTTTGCAGGCCTGCCAGAGTTTGGAGACCCTGAAGCAGCCGTTCTTCTAGGTGGGGGATCCACAAGCAACGGGACGTTGTGGGCGTTTGACCACGTGAGGCACTCGTAGTGGAAGTAACGGTCCCAATCTTGGACGAGATGCTGGGCTTGTTATTCGCAGATGTGACACTGACGGTGATATGTCCGTTTCCAACCGAACCGAGCAAAGGACGAAGCACTGCCACACCCGGAAAGAGGCAGTGAAGCTCTCGAAGATGGACAGCCGGCTCAGAAAGAAAGAAAGAAAGAAAGAGGGGAGTCCTACGTGCTTTTTGGCATGTTCTCCTGACCTCAAGGAGAGCTTCGTGACGGCCAGGGGAATGCGGCTCGTCCGGAGCTGAGGGCTGGAGGCTCACACGGAGCCTGATCCATACTGAGAGTGGGCCATTGGGGATTCGCATCGCATGGCTTGTTCCTTCGGCTCTTTGGGCAGGTTCGGATCTGCGCGACCGCAGACCTCCGGCTCCGTCCTTGCGGTCCTCCGGGCACAGTCCAGGAGGCTTCGGCCGGGGGAGGAAGCGGAAGCTCACCAACAGGTTTTAGTAACGGTTTTAGCAGGCTCGATCCATCCATCCGTTGACATCAATCCATCTATCTAGCTGTTTGTCTGGCTATATATCTATCCATCCATCCATTCAGCCAGCTATTTAGCTATCTAGCTGTCTGTCAGTCGATCTTTCCATTCTCTATTCACGTGCTTTTTCTGCTGTATTTGTTTGTATAGCAGACATGCATATGCACATACATGCGAACATACACCTGCGCACACAGACACACATCATCACATGTACACTTGCCTACATACCTAAAGACAGACGGACAGCCAACCAGACAGACGTAGAGGTTCAGCATTCTAAAGCGGCGCCTGTTTTGCAATCTGGCCTTCCAGTAGGTCTCCCGGATGCCAGGTGTGCGAGTGGGTCCTGGCATCAAGACTGGGCGGCTTCGGGGCATTCCAGCGACGAAACCGCCCAGGGGCAGCCCGGTCCGTTGAGACCTCACGGCCGAGGGTGTCTGCAGTGGCAGGGCTTTCGACGGTTGGATGTAGATCAGGGGCCAGCTGCCGTTCAGTCTGAATCGGCAGTGAGCGCAGTTTCATGCAGATGCAAGATCTTCGTGGAAAGGCATCCTGCCCACGAGGAGCTTACAGTGATCCTAGCTGTGGTGCTGCATACCATCCTCCGCCCTGGCGGGGCCATCACGCCTAAGGCGTGTCGAGCCCGCTGCAAGACAAAAGAGCGCCTGAACTTCGAGCACACAGTCTTGTAAGCCCAACCTCAGCTTAAAGAGTCAAATGACAAGTCAAGCTCAACAGCGTAGTGCCTGCACTTTCCTTGCCAGCAGCACTCCGAGCATACGCTGCACAGGTGGATGCGTGTTGTGTCTTATGGCGCCATGTAATGTATGCAGAGATCGGTATTCTTCCACCAATCCACAGTTGAGGCTGGGTTATTTGACACTTTTCTCATGTGACGCATTTGGTGTGCTCGAGACTCAGCAAAGAGCCAGATGGAATGGATAGATGAAAGGGATCATGAAGAAACTTTTCTAGCTCAGGGTGCCCAGATGCTTACACTAAGTTGCCTCAGTTCCCTATCTCTGCATGTCCCGACCCGCTCGATGGCCCTCAGCAAGTCAGATGAAACCCACGCTCACCCACGTCCCCAAGCCTAGAATCGTAGTACTCCCGAAAGTTGCCACAACAGAGTCTCGGGAAATGGCCCGGAAGCGGCGCTGCGGCGAGGATGCCTCCCCAGAGGATCGGCCAGCAATAGGTATCACCAGTTGCCTCTGCGCAGCTTTGGCTTACATACTTGTATCCTGGTAGGTTGCAGCATGTTGTGGCTTTAGTTGCCCCACTCTTGTAGCACCCGAGCAGGCCGGAAGGCGAGGCCGACGGCATGTTGGACTTGGAGCAGTCATACTGGAAAACTTGGGCTACTCCGGAAACGACGATGAAGGCTGCCGGCTCAGAGGGTGGGGTAGTCTTGCCGTATTTCTCATTTGTGCAGATACTTTCAGGTCAATGGTAGTGGCTGGAAGTCTACGGGCAAGGGTGAGCCTGGCAACGATGTAGTCACAATGTAGAAGTAGGACGAAGAAGGCGCAGCCGACGAAACACTCCGAGTGCACCCTTCGTTCTTCATGGTCGTCAGTTATGGTGGTGACGGAGGCGATGGTGTTGGGCGGTGGTGGTGGTGGTGTTTGTATGGTGGTGGTTGGAGCAGCAGCAGCAGCAGTACCAGTAGCAGTAGCAGCAGCAAGAGCAGTAGGAACAGCAACAGCAAAAGCGTGTAAGTGTAGTAGTGGTCCTAGTAGTCGCACAAGTAGTGCTAATCACGACGACAAGCGAGGCGAGATGAGTCTGCCAACCCCACATCCCCTTCTGTTGCTGTCCAGGCCAGGAAGCCAAGGTCGCAAAGCTCGATACCTATGCTGCTCCCGAGCCGTGGTGGCATTCCTTCTTTCTTAAGTTCAATCTTACATCTCGTCAGATTGGCGGAAAGTTAACCAGGATTCTGAAAGCATTCAGACTAGGCATCCCTTCCTGGGTGTCACATGTTCTGGGAAGGCTGTCAACGCAACGTGCGTTGGCAGCTCATCGGACAGTCAGACATGGAATTCGATGTTGCAAGTCAAAAAAGGGCTCGCACAGTCAGCTTCTTGCAGAATCCTGTTTCCATCGGCGGGAGCAGAGAACCCAAACCTCGAGGAGGGCGTGGAGCGCGCAAGCCCAGATGAGGCTCCAGTGCATGTTTTTGTGCAGGCATGTCGGGGAGAGGGAGTTGGGAGCATTTTCAGGGTTTCTTCTTTGTCTCGTACACAGTGCCTGTCGCTCATAGGCACATGGTCATTGCAGATTGGAGTGGTTCAGGCCGTAAAGATTCGAGGGCCGTCAGTAGTTTTGCCGGTCGAAGTCAAACATGGCTGGCCGGGCTGTGTCGCCTGAATTTGTCATCCGTCTTCCTATTGGTACCCCGATTCCTTCGTCGGTGTGCAACCAGTTGTTTACCGGAAATTGGCAATGTAGCAGCTTTGTATCCTTGCAAGCCAGGCGCCCAGGAAGCGCCGGCCGCGCAAGGACAGAAAACCCATTCTAGGTGCAGGGCCAACGTGCTTATCTGGAGACAAAGACATACAAAGACTCGGGGGGTTGCTCGCCGCGTGCAATCTTGCTCGAAGGAGAAGCGTCTCCCAGAGGTGGAGGCTGCAAGCGGAGATGAGGCCTCTTAATTGTGTCGCGATGCGTCGCGCGGGTGTTCGAACCGCCGAGCACCGCGTCGCACTGCGAGGCGCCCAAGAAGCGCCGGCCTCGAAACGCCCGTGAGGCGCTGCACGCTGTGACTTCGTGCAAGCGTCTTTCGCGAGTCTCGGCAAGCCTTCCGTCTTCCGCTGGACTCGGTAGGCTGCAGATGGAGCTGACGAAGAGCAGGCGCAGGTCTATTGCCCACTTTTTACCACGCTGCCACATGTCTCGTCGCGGAGTGGGGCCTGTTTCGCAGGGCGACCGCGCACAGAGGCAGAGACGAGCCAGGACGGGGAGCGAAGGGCTCGGTCTCTCGAGCCGTGTCGGATCTTCCAAGGCCGAAAGAGAAGCAGCCAGAGTTCGGCGAGGAGGAGGCTCCTTCTGAGGGTTTCGCCGGTTGCTTTAGAGCTCTTGCCAAAAAGTGGCATCCTGCTGTACTGCGAACATACAATGCATGCGGACGGTTCGACCGAGCTGCAGGAACCTGACGAGGCCTCCGTAGCCGTGCCTGTGCTGCAAGAAAACCTCGGAAAGTTCCGCGTCCTTCTCGCCGCTCTCGCCGCCTCGCTCTGACGGTCTTGGCCGAGGCGTGGAAGCGCCTCCTCGCTGCGCGAGCCGACGGCGAAGACTTGCGCCTGGCTTTCTCCCTGCGGCCCATGGTTCCGCAGGCCGCAGCCTAGTGTGTGCCGTTTGGCTGAGTCCGGTATGCAACTCGGGACTGGCCTGCTCGGAAGCACATGGGGCAACTGCATTAGGGCCGCCGGCTGATGAATTGCCCACACGGTGTTTTGCGTCAGTTACTGGTGCGTTGGGCACAGGAGCTACGCCAGCTGGGTCCAGAAAGCTTCCTTGGGAAGAAGATGCCGGCCTGCAAGCAGTAGATCTTCTTGCATCTCGACGATTCATAAGCTCGACAATCCACACATGGATCTGAAACTGAGCCCTAACGTTTCTCCAAGGAAAGAGCTGGGTGCTCAGCCTTTATTCAACCGCGAGGGCAAGGTGAACCTCCAGTGCGTCGCTCAGATGGTGCTTGTAGTTCAGTGGCTAGGGAGGATGACTGCTCATGCTGCGCCGATGCTTCCGGTCGGAAAAACAGACATGTAGCAGCGCCTCCGTGCAGGTTTCTCCTTGCCAGCTACAAGGCCTCAGACAAGCGCCGTGGGGAAGACAAGGCTGGAAGCGGGCAGCCATGCGCGGTCCATTCAAGCTACGAGCCGGTTTCCGTTCTTCCGGTGACATCCGTGCCGCAGGATGCATCCAACCCTCACCATCCGTTCCTGCTCTGGTTAGTGAAGCAGGCCGGGCACATTTCCCAAGCATTTGCCGCGGACTTTCGCAGAGAAGGGTCAGCTTCTTGTGTCCATGGAAGGATTTTAGGGAACAGGCAGGCGCAGCTTTCAAGACCTCCCCACTCCCGCGAGATCTTCGCAAGTTGCGAGGCTCGCCAACTGCGGCTGCTGAGCAGCAGGGAGGTGAAACGGGGTCAGATCCCCAAGCAGCGTCTGGAGCAGGACGGCTTTCTCTGGATGTGAGATGCACGCTGCCTTATGAACATCATCCTCATGAGTACAGTTCTTAAGGATGACGGAAGGGAGCGAGTGCTTGCCAGTAAGCCCAAGACGCGAAGAGTCCTAGGATCATCTCTGACAATTTCTGTTCAGTGATTTGATCAAGACGTGCGAGAAGAATTGGAAGAAGCACACGGGCCAGGTAAGCTGTGTGCATTTGTTGGACGCGGTGGGATTCGTGACAGGCGAAAAGCAATGGCTACAGCCTCGCAGATGGAGCCAATCTGGCACAGGCCCGGGATTGATGGTTATGCTGGGTCGCAATTGAGCGCAATTAGATCACCGAGAGCCACATGAGCCACCATATCGAACAGCCTGCTAGGCTTCCGACGATGAAGAGCGAAATCGTCAGAAGGAAGCCGAGGAGCAGGAAAGGTTGGAGAAGCAGGCCAAAAGCCAGAGCACGTTTTGTAGAAAACGTTTCGAACGAAGGATCTGGCAAGCCAAAAACATGCTGAACTGAGCCAAAAAGGTCCAGGAATGTAGTTGGGTTTCGGAGTTGCCTTAGACTATTAAGCTGTACATAGATGTGAATAGATGCGTGGACGTGCCTATTCTTGGGGTGGACAAGCACATTCCCGGCAGAGGCGGGTGCAGACATTCTGCAACGTGAAGTTCTATTCCCAGAGCGAGTCGGCAGTGTGATCCTCAGTATCCAGCATGCATCGCGGGGCTCGAAGCTCGGAGAGTTCTGCCGCCGCGATGGCAGCGGTCGGAGTGCTCGCTTGCGAAGGTCAGTCCCTCGCTGAGTCGTCCGAGCGCTTGCGGCAGCAGCTGCGAAACCAAGCAGAGCTAAGAAAGGCGAGCGGCTTGGCATGCGTGTGCTTCGAGTTTCAGTGCATGACTTCGTCAGAGTCTACAAAAATCCGATCCCCCACAGACATACCGCATCGCCAGGAAAGGATAAAAGCCCACTCCAGCAGCGGCCAGGATCTGCAGTCAATGTTGCCTGGCCGCAGTCGCTTCTTAGACTAGACCCGTTGGAGACGGCCGAGAAGTTGCAGCTGACACTATGTCGAATCGAAGTGTTGTGGGTTCTGGTATATATGCGACAAGAGCGGCAGCACGGACTTGTCTCACGTAAGGTCTTCAGTTCTCAGCGCACCATCCCTTTCGTTCGACTGGGTTGAGCCGGAGTCCGACGAGGCCCGCGCGGTCCTTGAATGCAAAGCTTCGTCGACCTCTGGAAGAAGCAAGTACGATGCACAGGAGACCAATCCGAACGGCACGTTGCAGGCCGGTCGCCGAATCGCCGCAGCAGTTTCTGGATTGTGCAGTGCGAGCAAGTTACGCAGTGTCCTCTGTATTGCTGACATTGAGTCTGAGACTTTGCCCCAAGACCCAAACAAGCCGGAGCTGAATGTGGGCAGGCTGATTCTGGAGTGAGTGATGTGGTGAGCACCACACGACCTCTAAAGGTTGATCTGCCTCCCAGCGCAAAGAGCTCCGAGTCGCGGCGCGAGTTGCTTCGGGAGACGATCCAGCGCTCCTCGGCCCGCGTAGGTGTCGTGCCACTCCCGCGACCGTTGTATCCGAAGTCACTTCAGGTTCTGTGTCCTTCAAGCAGGCCGAAGTCCTCAATTCCAAGGCCGGCGCTTTGTGGCGCAATTTGAAGTCGTGGAGTCACGACACCTTCGGAGACAGGCAAATCGTGCATTGTCCGCATCGCTGTCGGCATCCAGTGCAAAGTCCTCTCGGCTGTCGGAGGTGCGGGTAGTACTGAAAAGCTTCTGTCCAGACGGAATGGGTCCAAGGCGGACAAGCTAGCGGACAAGTTGGCAGACAAGCTCAAAGCGAAGTCCAAGCAAGGTGCGGGCCAGGGGTTGGCTTTTCATTGAAAGAACTCTTGCCTGGCTGGACATATTTTATCTTATTTTCGGGTTTACTAGCAGGCGGTAAAGTGTTTGACAGGCTACTCCGCCCAGAGTTTTGTGCTTGTCTGGGGTCTTGAAGGTCCGTCTCAAGATGTCTCAAGAAGGCCATGTCTGCTCCTGTGTTCCGTTTCTAGCAAATTGGGTTTCCAGGCAATCTATCTGACTCTGGTCCTTTGCTTGTCATGTTGATCGTTTGCATGGTTCTCCGCTCTTTGGACTGATGTGGCGAGTCTTCCACTGTGTGTACAGGCCGGTCCCAACGAATCCGGTTTGCCCGAGTGCTCAAGACTGGTGAAACAAAGTGGGGTTTTGCATAAGTGCATAATTCCGCATACAGACAGAGACAGGTTTTCCGACGAAAAGTCCGTTGGGTGGAATCTGGCATATTGCGAGGCGTGACTGTACCCTGCATGGTGAGGGGGGGATTTGGTATTTGCATGACATACCCGGACATGGGTCCACCAATCACACACAGAAACTGACACCACTTGCAATTCCGGCAGTACCTAGTGCATGAACAACCTCAGCCTTCTGGACCGGGTAACGCCCAAGTGGTGTTGTGTGATACCATGGTTGTGGCCACATTGATGGTCGATATCGTGTCAGACGTGTTTTGACAGTCTTCATAACAACCCGAAGCCTACACGCATTGTCGCCCGAAGCTTAAAAAGGCAATCCTCCGGTGCATCCACAGGGTGAAGGACTGTGGGCTGTGGTTCCATCACGTGGCTGACTTTTCATTGTCGATCTTGTGGAAGAACAGTTTGAGCCACCGCAAGCCGCAAACCTCAAGCAGGATCAGCTACAGCGGCGGCGGCTATGGCGCTGCCACAAGGCAGGCACCGGACCGGTGCGTCCAGCATGAAGGGCTAGACATGGCTGGCCTCTTGAAGGGCAGGCCTGCGACGAAGGGCACCATCCACCTGCCCCTGCAGCCGTGCATGTCAGAGTCCACACGAATTGAATTCAACGACCCTTCGACAATCTAAAGCAGGATGTGTTCACTCGATGGCATGCAGTCATGGTCGGCTCACTTACATCAGACGCAGACGACATCGTGGCCTTCGCGCAAGCTCTTAGAACTCCACCGTGCCTTCGATCAGGAGCAGGCAACGCAGAGGAAGCATCAGGACGCCCTGGCTTGTTGTTTTGTTTTCATGCCGGTGAGTTTAGAGATTAGTGAATGCCGGCAGTTGCAGGAGGCAACTCAGTGAGTTTAAGCTTTTTGATCATCTCCGGATTCGTCGTATATCATCTACACAGGCTAATCGGTGCAGAAGAGTGCCAGATGCTTCCGGTTAGGCCCAGCTGTGGAGACCTCCGCCACGGTGGATTCTTTCCCAGCAGAAGCATCAGGAAGCCTGGCTTGGTTCATTGCTTCCCATGCCGGTGAGGCTAAAGGGAATGCCGCCTCATGCAGGGTGTTGAGTGCATTGACTCGAGAAGGCTTGGCCGCATGAACTCTCTGAAAACAGCTTGTTAGCTCATCTGCCCATACGTCGTGTATGTGCTACAAACATGAGAATCACATGTTCTGCAGCTCGACGTGCTAGGTCCAGCTCTGGAGGCCTCCGTCAAAGAGCGTTGTGTCCCAGCAGAAGCATCAGGCAAACCTGGCCTGTTTTGCGCTTCCTATGCTGGTGAGATTGCAGCGGATGCTCAGTTGAAGGGTGTTGAGTGCATTGACATACCTTTGACATGCAGCGCTGCGTCAATTCTGGTTGTTAGCGTTTGGTAGCTCATCTCCGGATTCGTCGTATATTGAATTAATTATCACGATGTGCCGCTTGAGATTTGAGTGCAGAAGAGTTCCAGATGCTTCCGGTTAGGCCCAGCTGTGGAGACCTCCGCCACGGTGGATTCTTTCCCAGCAGAAGCATCAGGAAGCCTGGCTTGGTTCATTGCCTCCCATGCCGGGTGAAATTTTAGAGGAGACCACCAGTTGGAAGGTGTTCGATCTGACATGCAGCGCTGTGTCAACTCTTTGCATTGAGGGGGAGCTACGCATATGAGTTATCATCATGTGCAGCTCTCGGCGAGGCCCATCTGTGGAGACCTCCGCCAAAGAGCATTCTACCCCAGCAGAAGCATCAGGACAGCTTGGTTCATTGCCACCCGAGATGCCACCAGATGCAGGTTCTGAGTGCTGTGACATAGACTTGACATGTCCAACGTATGGCTTCATGAACTCTGTGATTTCAGATGGCTCAGCTCCGGATAAGTTGTATTTGTGCAATACATATGACTGATCATAATGTGCGGCCTGGCGTGAGAGCAGAAGAGTAGGGACTTGCGTGCAGAAGAACTCCCGGCGTATTCCGCTAGGAGCTGTGGAGACCTCCGCCGCGGAGGCCCCCATCCTGGCCGAAGCGGCAGGAGATCACCAGCCTGTTTAATGAGTTTTATGCTATGTTCATTATGTTTAGTGCTCTGTGCTGGGTAGGTCTCCCAGTTGTTGGATGCTTCGCAAGCCACTAGTAAGTATGGCATGCAGCCCGACTTGACTGCAGAGAGGCACCTGGTACGAAGGTCTTGCCAGCTTGGGGAAGCATTTGGTTGCCAGGCTTCAATTTGGGTGCCCAGACTTGACATGAAGTGAGTTCGATGAGCATCGTATTCCGTTCAATGAAGCTTACCTCCGCCCAGTCCATGGTCATTTACAGGTTCGTGAGATTTGCAAATGAGGGATTTCATTTCGAAACTCACGTCGGCCAGATGACCTGGAGATCAGCGCGACTTTGCCCTTTGAAGTCGATCTGGAGCAAGGCCGCGTTGCGTGGGCTGCTTGCAAAGACATCTCGAACACAGAGCCGCTAGCCGCGAACACTGCCCTCAAGAAATCGAAGTGTAAGTCTTTTGATGGGTTCTTCCACACCATGATTTTTTGCCTAGCTCGGCCTTTGAAGTTTTTGCACTCGATGCCTGTATGTTGGGACACTGCTGTCCAACAGGTGCACAGGTGGCGCAACATGGCCGCAATAATTTTGAGTTTCAACGTGCAGCACGTGGCTTAGGGCGCAGATATTCGTGCTGCTAAAGGTTGACGGTCGGCGCACGGTCATAGAGAAAGTCCCTACCGGTACTTGACTATGGTAGTGCCAGCCTGGACATAGCTGATAACGAAGCTCCTGCAGTCTTTGCATGCCTCTTAGGCCAGCAGATGCAGGCACGACCTTGGGCATTGGCTATCGGAAACTGGACAACAGCTTCTGCGTCGCAGACCTCTCTGCGACCCTGCCCTTCGACGTTGTGCTGGGTGAGGTGGAGGCACCGGCAATGGAGGCTCAATGTGACCCGCTGCTCCCCCCCCCTGAACATCTGCGATTTTTTCAGGCTGGTGACGAGAGGCACGATCGTGCGGATCAAGCACAACCCCGTGTGCCTACAGAGGCACTCTTGCCGCTTGCCTTGCGAGTGGGAGAAGGACCGGTGTCGAGGATACGGCCCGCCGATGCATTCTTCCGGCAGGCGAGCGGCGCTCTCTTGGAGGCCGAGGAGACCAAAACCTCCAGCGAGGCAAGGGAAGCACAGGGAGGTTTCCGACGGGGGGGATTTTTCTTAGACTGTCAATCTATCTGTCCACAGGAGGAAGCGGAGGACTTGTCTGCCGGCACCCCAAAAGACCCCACTGCCGCCAAAGAGAGCAAGCCGCGCTTCCGAGGCTGCGCAGCGCCGGGAGCGGGCCTGGCTCCGGCACCTGAAGCAGAAACTCCGGGAGGAGGAGACCCTTCGCCGTTTTCAAGCTAGGGGGCCGCTGACATCTCCACTGTGCAGAAGAAACTCTAGCGATGTCCTGGTGGCATCGGGGATAGTTACATGGATTTTTGCCTGCTGCTATCAGCACCGCTTTGTGAGGTCCTTCTGAGCTAGGCCGCTAGGCAATCTAATCCTGTCCTCTCGAAGCCTTCTTGAACTGGGAGCCTCCTGCAAGCAGGGGCGCTCAGTGCTCAGCCGCAATGGGGCCCCGTGGTGTGTTGAGAACAGTGGCAAGGTCACTCCTCTACTCGAGCTGACACGGACGTGTGGCTTAGGGTCGCTTTCAGTGCTGCTGGTAATCGTCGCTTCTGGATTCGGTGCAGGACAAGGAGAATCAGAAGGTGCAGAAGTCCAAAGTCAAGGCGAGCCCTGTTCCTGGCACGCCAAAATGCGCTCTTCTGTTCTCCTGTCATCCGCTTTCCAAAGTCGGGACAGCTGAAGAGACTGGGTCAGACTTTGGCAAAGGCGGGCCGCGGCAAAATGCCATCACCGGTGGACGAGGAGGACGACCTCTTCCTTGGCAATCGAGGGTACTTGGGTAAGCAAGAGGCATACCATGTAGCACCAGCGCAGATGTCGAAGTAGCCTTCCACGATCCGCATGTTTTCGCCGCGGCGCAATTCTACATGAGTCAATGGAGCATGTGCCTGCATGGTGCCAAGGAACCGGCAGCGCGGTGACAGAAACAAGCCGTGCACCCAGAGTAAGCTATCACTTGAAGCCTGTCGACGTCGTTCAGCCATGGATTGCCCACTTAATCAGGACACTGTAGGGAGTCAGGCAGAGGTTATGATGTTTGAGCTCGGAGAAAGCAGGGTTGAAAGGAGCGTCGTGCGGAACTCCATCCCTTACATCGCCAACCCCCCCATGTCCAGAGCACGAGGCCAAATCTGCTGCTTGGCACCCGCGCCCCCAGAAGGCAAGTCTGACCGGTACTTGTCTCCAGCTGTGGGAGCCTCAGATCTGGTCTCCCTGGACTCAAACATTTGTTGCTTCGCCTTTAATCGTGCAGTGCGGGGTCATTGTTCTGGCCGATGATACGGTTAACGGTTAACATTAACGCCCCTTTTCTGTTGACCGTCAGCACGGTGGCTGTCAGGTAGTTTGATCGGAACTGCCAGCTTTCAGCATTTCAGTCAGGTCTGCTTCTATTCTCGCTAGCACGAATCCACCTGAGCCCGTATGGCATCATGATCAGAACGAAAGCAATACAATGATGATGAGCTATTGACGCAGCCTGACACTATGTCGATGCAAGTCCAGCAAAGCTTTTTGTCCTATGCTATGGTGCGCGTCAGCCAAGTGGCTACCCATGTGTCCGCGGTGCCCTGGCCTGTTTCAAGAGCTGCTACTTTCTTGACGGCTTGTCCTCTGGCTTAATATCGGCAACAAATACAGGACCTCTAAAGATGTCACGGAGTGCGCAAGAGCTCAGGTAACAGGGGTGCAGGCGCGTGGCGCCACTGTGGATCGTAAGCAGATCTGCCGCAAGGCCAATGCTGTGGGCTGGGCTGGAGAGTGGAATTCCAGAGTTCCACTTAAGTCAGATGACACGGCTTGGCAGACATGTAGCCAGGTGAAAAAACTGAAGGATCTGCGTATAGGTTCAGATCTGCTTCCAGTTTTACCTGAGCCCCCTGAGAGGTATCCTACCCTATTCTTGCGGGCCTCTTCTCTGGTGTGCACCTTGACTTACGAAACGGGGTCATCCTCTTGAGGTGAGGCACCGCTTCACGCACTTTTCAGCTGCACGGGATGTTTTGCCGCACCATTCTGATATCACTCTGCGGCAACCTGCAAAGGGAACTAACTCTGACGCTGCCAATGGTCGCGGCCACGCTGAAGGCCATCCAGAACTATGTGGATACTGAGCAATGGATCAAGCAGAACGTTGTCCCATGACTGCCTCAGAATCCCTCAGCAACATATTGTCACAGCACAACGCAGCAATGGTGGCCTCGGAGTGTGAACTACTGAGCAGACGTCTCGAAAGCTGTGCGAAAAACTCCGGCTGCATGTGACTGCATCCTGTTGTCAGTCCGAGGTTTTCGATAACACTGCGTATGCCACCTTCGGGACCTGCCTTGGTTTTCTGCTGCTCGGGCCGCACGATTCCACAACTCTGCAGACTTTCCAGGCGTGGCGTAAGCAACCTTGCCATCGTTTGAGCGCGGTCAGGATCGTCTTCCGGACGGCGCAGTCGTATGGCCGCTTCTGGGAGGGGATCGACATGGTTTACGAGATCATGGGTCACTGGCTCCTCGGCAAGGCATGGCTAAGGCGGCTGCGGCCTGAAGTTGTCTCTGCTCAGGTTCAATGCAGCAAGCAATGCGCTGGCCTTCACCCATTCAACGAAGGCATCCGCGAAGGAAGTGCATGACTTCCATCGGCTTGTGGTGAGCCCCGGCTGTTCCAGATAACTTTCCGGATTCCCAGCGTTTTCTTAGCTCGGTCCTCTCTGTCTTTGCAAAGAGGACTTTGCCCCAACCCGAAGCCAAAACCGAAGAGCAGTGGAGATCTGAGGCGCCTCTTCAGCCTGTTGAGCCTGGCCTGTCCCTGGGAAATTTGCTTTGGTTTAGGGTTTAGGGTTTAGGGTTTAGGGTTTGCGATACCCCAATAGGCTCAATCACGTTTTTAGTTTCGTCGATCTCATGCCTACTCGCTTTTAATCCCTGCTCGGGCTTCTGGCTCTCTTACCCTTTAGGCGAAAGATGTGTGTTTTTCGTACCTGGTTCCACTTCTTCCACTTCTCCGGTTCTCTCTTTGAGGGAAATTGCTCAGCAAGGAACTGCGTCGTCCTGTCGGAGCTTGAGGGCCTCGAGTCACGTGCCGGCTCCTGGACAGGGAAAAGATTTTCGGGACCAAGGATATTTAGAAGCCCTGAGTCCCTGAGTAGAGCTGACAGAAGTCACGGAGAAAGCAGAGGTAGAGAGAGTCCGTGATGCAAGATGTATTTCCTGTATCTGCTCAATGATGCCGCACAATCTGCCAGCATGATGAGCCAGTTTAGCCATCGTGGGGAGCCTAGGCAAGCTCGATTTCCACGTGCTGGACATAAATGGGCTCGACAAAAAGACACGCTTCTCCGTGCTCCATCCCAAGGACGCAGGGACCGGGAGTGTACCGTCTCAGTCCTGTTCTACAGCCTTTGAGTTTTGTGAGCTTTGCAGTCGCAGGATCGGAGTCGACCTGAGCAGGTTTACCATGCCATCAGCAAGGCGAGGACCGCTGTCAACGAGAGATCTGTATGAGGAAGGCGTGGAAGGATATGTTGGCAACAATCGTCTTCAGGTGATGATGGAGGCGATCAACTCTGGCGTCATGGGGGCTCCGCCGCCGATGGTGAGTCGTGTGTACCACGAGATGGGCCTTGGAATGACGCTCTGCCGAGTTTGCCGTAATGAGGGTTCAGCGAAACAAGCAGCCCCGTAAGCCTGTGCTGCGAGCAGACTCACATCTCATCTCGGAAGTCTGCATGTCACTTCGAGTTGAGATGTCAGAGCTAGCATGAGCTAGCGATAGCGGCTGGTACGACCAGCCCGTTCAGTTTCCGATTCTATGCTGCCTACCTGTTTGCTGACGACGTGTGCTGGTGACCACTTCGGCCAGGAGCAAAATGCATGCAGCTATGCGCTTTGGCACAGTCGACTTCCCGGCACCATACCTGCTTGCCCTGAAGGCCTGCATTTCGCTTGTTTAACGTGGCTTAGCCACATCCATTGGCTGGGGTTTGCAGTTCTGAGGCAATGCTTGCTATCTACACGTTTCTGACACGTGTCGCCGTGATCGACTGGGCGCAGACTGTGGCCTTCTCTGGATTCTTCAGCACGCTTTTGGCAGGGGCCTCGGGGGACATTCAGGGAGTCGATTCACACCTGCTCGGGGAGGTGCTGCAACAGCAATTCCTTGGAACCGCTTTCAACTGCTACGATGGTGACTCCTGCAAGGGCTGCTGCTGCTGAAACCCCTACTACCACCACGAAAAGACGACGTCGACTGCAAATTTCATTATTAATTTTTTCCTACCACCACTACTACTACGACTACACTACTACTACTACTACTACTACTACTACTACTACTACTACTACTCCTGCTGCTGCTGCTGCTGCGGCTGCTGCTGCTGCTGCTGCTGCTGCTGCTGCTGCTACGACTACACTACTACTACTACTACTACTACTACTACTACTACTACTACTACTACTACTGAGGGAACAGTTCGCCTGCGTGGTAGTGTCTTTGACACCAGCGCTTCCGCAGTGATCTTTGATGGGCGCAACCTCATCCACTGCACGCTTCCCTGGCAGGATTGTCGATGCGTCGTGGTTGCCTACACTGTGGGACCACATCATGGCATGTCCCTTGAGCAAAGGTGTCACCTAGAGGATGCGGGGTTTGTACCCCCACCCCCTGCTACGGATCAGCCTGTACCGGCAGTAGATCCTGGCCAGTGTCGCATGGAGCAATTCTTTCATCGAGGTCACGGCGAGATCCTGCACTCTGCAACATAGAGCCCTTCCCTTTCCTTTAGGCGGTTTGTTTGGTTGATAGTGCCCCTTCCCTGCTGTTGCTGTTGCTAGGCCGATTTTGATAGGCGGACAACGTCTGCGCGAGTGGCCAAAGGCCTGCGCTGCACAGACAGCAGCCAGATTGTGCCAATTTTGCGGAGCGAGCCCGATGCTGCCTGTAAGACGTCTCCAAAGCGCTCGATTGCCAGCATCCTGCTGTCTCATGGTAGGCCGTGCGTTCGTTGTCTTCTCACTCAGGTCATGGCCCGCCACGTTCGTTCTTCGGCTGGGGGCTCAGCGGCTGGTGCTGGCAACATTGCTGGTGCATCGGCGAGCTCCGCAGTGGGGCGCAGCAGGCAATGTCGGACGAGTGGATGCGGGCGTGAGTACAGGAAGACTCGTCACTCGCACTGCTGCTCAATTTGCTCGGTTGGCAGACATACAGCACGCTGTGATGCGGAGTGGGCGAATTTTCAGAGGCGACGTGAGAGAGCCCAGCGTCGAGCACTTCGTGGCAGTCTTACCGCCTGCGTGCTTCCTGGATGTGGTCGGGCTGCTGGGCTTGGGCATACTCACTGTTGCTCGCTATGTTCTTCTAGTGCTGGGAGTGAACACACGGGGCAATGTACCACTCGGCAGCAGTATGTACATGTACAGGGTGCGGAGATTTCGGCTGCAACTACGGCTCCAGATGATGCTGAGACCGTGCACAACTCTGGGGCAGGAAGCAGTACCGATCAGCCGGCGGATGCTGCTTTTCCTTCCATGGTACCTACTGCAGAGACTGCTGATGGGGCGGCCATCTATGTCCTCGATTCCAATGACGAGGCAGATTTGGCTGAAGCTGTTGCTGCCAGCTTTGCGGAGTTGCAGGCCCAACAAGCCCAGCAGGAAGTTCGATCTTCGCTCAATTTTGAAGAGATGGATTAGTCGATGATGCTTAGAAGTTCATTAGGGCTTCGATTTACTCGGAGCGGGAGCTAAGATGCTCCTCT